TTTTGAGTTTCACTTCCCTCGATACCAAGCAAACATAATTACAACGTAAAAATGAAATTACTTAGGATCGCGATTATTTGATTTTCGATCGTTAAGAACGAAATTTTCGAATTAACTAATTGGAATCATTTTTGTCGAATTATTAAATTTACGATGTAGATTTAGTTTCGTAAATGGACGGTCAAAATTTACAGCTATAGGATAATAGAAACGCGTATAGAGATTCGGATTATATCGAATGCATTGCAAAATCATTCCCGTGAAATGGATAACATGGGAATCGTGTTAACAAAACGCGACATGCCGTGAAATTTAATGAAACGTTTCGTATCAATATATGTATCTATTCCTCGTTTGTACGGTCGGATGTTATGCGAACGATACACGAGGTGGCTGTAATACATGCGACAAGATAAGATGTGTGCTCGCGTTTTGTTAAAGAACTTTCAGTTGACGTTAAGCCTTCAAGTGACATCGAGTTAAATATTAGGGAAGATCAAAGGAAAGACTAATCTTTTCCGCGAGTAAAATGTTAATTTTTTTTTTCTTTCTCGGAGAATACATACCTATATCTTTCCAAGTTGTTTAGATAAGAGACATTGCACAAAGATAAGATCGAAAGTATCGTTGAAATTTACTCATTATTTCATGTTAATTCGTGTCACGAGATTATTACAAGAATGAAACAAAAAGAATGAAAATCGAAATGTAAACTGTACTTTACAACAAAAAACGTTACTTTTCTTTCTAATCGTGATTCGTATTCTAATGGTGATTTTGCACCATCTTAAGATATAATTTAATGAAACTCTCTCTTATTTTGTACTATTAATCGTAGAAATCTCTCTACTTTGTTCCGAATCTCATTTTTCTTTTTTCTAGCGAGTTACGGTCCGTAATAACGTGGCAGCATTACTTCTCCTTCCTCCTTTTGATTCTCTTTCTTTCTCTCTCTTTCTCTTTCTCTTTCTCTCTCTCTCTCTCTCTCTCTTTCTCTCTCTCTCTCTCTCTCGGCAGACTTAATCTCAAGTACGATAAAACGTTTTGCTATACACACTCGAGATGCACGAGTAAAACTCAACAGTGTTATAGCGCTTATGGAAGGAGTAAACAACCGAGGCGTGTCTCCGTTTCCTCGAGCTTGGAAGCCGTCCCCCGGATTTACGATTGTTGCCATTCTGCTCGTGGAATCGTCAGGATATACCCCCCCGAAATTGTAGGCAACTCACTGCCAACGAGCGTCCGACCCACGCGTTTCCTTCACCTCCTCCTCCTCCTCGTTCTCATTCTCCTTCTTCGTTCATAAAGTCTCTACAATTTAACCGTACGTATTTTCGTACGTACTTTCCGTTCATTCATATATTTCCTTTCAACACTGACACTGTACGATATCTGGAACGTTGATTATCCTCTACTCTTTCTTTTCCTGTCTTTTTTCTTTTTTCTTTTTCTTTTTCTTCTTTTCTTTTTAACTAAGAAAAATCAGAAAAATTAATAAGACACTTGATAGTAGTCATTTTTTTGTTTATTGACGTTTCGATTATCAATTGCAGGAATTATTTATTTATTTATTTATGTAAATTATATTTATGAAATTCGTCGTATTACCTATATTATTATAATAATATACAGTTTGCAAAATTATTATTGTGGAAGATGATGGAAAAATTAAAAAAAAAAAAGAAAAAAAAAGAAAAAAAAAAGAAGAAAGAAAGAAATTCATAACGAAAAATAATATCCATAGTAATTTTTCTCGCATATTCAACATGGAAACGAATAGAGTTTCTTAGCACGCGCGTCCTGAAATTCACGCATCTATGCCCGCGCGATCAACGGGGCTGCATTATCATTTTATAATGACGTGCGAAACGCACACGCTTCGTTTGTATGTACGCTCACTAACATCATAAATATCTTTGTGTGTTAGGAGAAGAACAATGCGAGATTGTAATGTGCGTGAGTGGTGTGTAAGTTGCGTGTAAATAACGGAGAGCCAACCGATCGACGAGATGCAAAGGAAAGGAAAGGCTATTTTCAACTCTTCCATTAACTATTTCGTAATAATCACGTGCGATTCCTTAAGAACGATGGTTTTTCCTGTGGAAACAATGAAACCGTTACAATCTTCTGTCTTCTCCTCAGATATAATATATCTGGGTATTTCGTTAAAAAAAAAAAAACAAAACAAAAAAGAAAAATATAAAAAATGATTCATTTCGATTGACCCGAAATTCTTATTAAGAAAAATAAAAACGTGGAGGGATCAGATATATAGAATCGGTGTTAATTGTTCTCAGTTTAAACGGAGTTCCGAGCGATTTCAAAAGTTCCGCAGTTAGTCGTTTCCCTGGTAAATGTTTGTGCGGAAAGTTCACGAAATGTGAAAAGTTTTGTATCGTTGGGTTAGAGAGGCCACATGAGCACCCTCCCACCGTAAACTGTGTAACAGAAAAAAAAAAAAGAAAAAAAGCTCGGTAAAATTTGCTCTCGAGGACTCTCCACTGAGCCCTGATATTAAATAGAATTAGATCGATACGAACGTGCTTCTGATGGTGGAGGGTTACTCGAATGAATGATCCCAGTTTCGCGATGTTGATGTGACAGGGGAATGTCAGAAAGGGTGCATAATGCGGAACGAACATATCAGATGCACCTTGTTGGAATTTAACCTGTTACCATTTTTAAATCCAAGGGATCAAAAAGACGGGATATAAGAGCCAAATTCAATGATTCGGAAAATTCGAATCAATTTTATTGTCGTTAATGCGATTTTCATCAGTACATACAAAACAGATAATTATTTCGATAAATATTGATTTAATAATTATCGTACATGATATATTATCAAGTATCTAAATTCATGTATGTATGAGAGAGAGAGAGAGAGAGAGGGAGAGAGAGACAAAATTCTAAGGAGGATTAAATTATATCATATGTATTCCCTTTCCATGAATCGCAATCTTGATAAGCGAAACTTTGGTTTCAATGTTTCTATTCAGTACGGATCCAATCCCTGAATTTAATGTCATTTCTCTTCGTTCTGGAAGAGAGATACGTACATCTGTTCCCTTCGTGTTTCTTCCTTCAGTATTGTCTGACCTGTAAATTGAGTTTCGTCTTGGAAGAAGAATCGAGAGGATGAAGATAAATATCGAAAGAATTGATATACGACATAGAATTTTATTTGTTGAGACTACGTCCATTCTTGTTACTTTTCCTTTCCGTTATCTATAGATTTAATTTATTAATATATTACTTCAAAATACACGTGATACATACACGTGGTACGATGTCGTGAAAGAATTCTATTTCGATTCAATTTATTTTAATAAGTAAACTAAGTAATGGAGATTTATATATATACAATTTTTACCTAGTCTCTCAACTAATTTATTACAGTTTTGAATGTGCCCGCACCAAAGTAACATTAAGAATGTATTCTATAGTAAAGAATAAGATTCCAACTCTTTTTGGTTCGACTAAGAAATCTTTAATTATATTAATATAGGGGTACCTGTATATAAAATAAATGTTATCTCGTAGCATTGTAATTATCATACAATTTATATTTTTAAATCATCTTTCACGACAACTGCAAAATCATGAAAGGATGTTTAATTTCAATATTCTTTCCTTTCGATTTTGATGTGTCATTCGGATCGATTCGTCTCATGGGATGAGAAATATATCTCGAGTCCCATGGAAACATGATATGTATCGTCGATATGCTTCGGGACTTGTAGTTCCATTTGGAAAACCAAAAGGAAGATACTGAATCGTCTCGGTCAGTGAAGACCTCGTGATTTTATATCTTCGAGATACCCATTCAATTTCAGAAACGGCAAAGCGTACATTTCTAAGATTATATCGTAAAAATATTGACTCGCGTTATTTCATCGTGAGAAAGAGAAAAAGCGTTGAAATCTCACCAAAGCTTTTGACGTAGGTACTTTGAAAAAACAGAAAGGGTGATTTTCCCAAACTCTTCCTCAGTACCGACGTAGATACGAAAAAGAAAGAACGAAAGATAAAAAAGAAAAAAGAAAAACTTATCTCGTCCGTACTTTTCATACCGCAAAGTGCGAGACTGCATTATTCATGAAGTGTAGGGTGCCCTAGCATTTGGACCATTTTCAACGTGGCGAATCTACGGCAGTGTAGTTCGTCCACGATATTCCTACGGCCCTATTTACATACATCTCTTGCCACTGAATCACGATGCAGTTGCCCTTTCAGCAACGCTACATCTCTCATGAGAAGAAAGAAGAACGTTTCTCGGTAAACGTCCTCTTTACGAACGGAGAACAATAACTTGTAGAAAATCGTTCTTTCATCCTTTCCTAACAGACTCGATCGAGAAACTATTTCTCACATATATATCATATCTTTTTTTTTCTCTTTTTCTTTCTGAAAAACAACGAGCGTCTATTCGGAAGGTGAGAATTATTTTTTCAAGAGGCGACAGTAGGTACGCGAGAGTCCATGGAAACAAGCCTAGTATTCCGGGAGAAGAAGAGAGGAAAGCTAAAAAGGATTAAAAAGAAGACGAATAATACTCGCTCGTCCGACAGATCGATGCACGGGCCAGTCGGCGGCTAGTTTGAATTTCCAACTCTTGAGAGATGGAACCAGCGGCAGACATGTAGTATACACATACATTTCAACGTATATATATATGGATGTGTATCTATATACATTTATGTACATATATATATGTATATATAAAAACACATACACGTGGACATGTATGTTGTACGTACGTAGATAGTATATAGAAAGATAGAGACACAGGGAGGCAAGAGAGAAACAGCAACGAGGGGTGGCCCGGTGCGTCGTCCCAGGTAAGGGGCAGCTGTCCACCAGGTGCCACTCGCCCCACCGCGCGCTCCCAATCTAGCGGACCACTGGTGGGGAGTACAACGATCCGATTGGCTGGTGGCTCGCGCGCGGATCGGAGATACTCCGGCGCGCCGCGATCGAGCAGTCAGTCGTCCCTGGGCGCTCAAGGGACCCGTAGTCGTTCGGTAGATTCGCTTTACGGCGCATCATCCGTCGCGGCTCGTGACACGCGGTTTCTCACTTCTTATTCTCATTCTTATTATATATTATTATTCAATATAATATAATATATAACACATCGCATTTCGGTTATATCAACTAAAAGGAAAAATATCCGTGGCAGTGAGTGCAAGAGATAGAGATAGAAGAATACTAGTCATCATCGTTTCGCTTCGTGCTTTATTATTATTATAATTATTATTTTTATTATTGATAATATTATTATTATATAATTATTATTAATTATCTATATGTTGGCGAAACGATTCCATCTTACGGCAAGATCTCCATCGGTGATTCTTTTTCATCTATGTGCATCGAGTGACGAACAAACTGTGTTCACTTTTCGATCTTTCTAATATTTCCGTTCGGTCTCCCTTCGCTTCTTCGTACGGGGACGATATAATAGATTATTCGAAGGATTCTATCGTCGTGGAATTTGATCTCCGCACGATTCGTTCGTATTAATTATTTCAAGATTTCGCACGCTCTCGACTCTCGAGAGCAGTACGGCCAGATTTATGGGGGTGTCCGGAGAGTGCGCGGTCAAGGGCAGCAAGAGCCAACCCTGTCACTGCTGCGCGAGTCACGTCGTTGCTAGTCCAAGCGCGAGCGTGCAGCAGCAACAACAACTTCAACAACATCACCATCATCAGCTACAACAGCAACAACATCAACGGCATAATAATCATCATCATCATCACCATCATCACGAGGTACATCACGCTATTCATCCCAATCATCATCATCATCATCATCATCATCAAGATAAGAACAACGTGCCGGTCGAGGTTCAACACAACGGTGACAACGGCAACATTCTCGCGCCTCTTCGCAGCAAGATGAAAGTATTGAAGAAGCTCAAACGCAAGATGGGCTTAGGTGAGCAGGCCACGCCTACGAATCTCTTCTTTTTCTATTTCTCTTTTCCTTCGTATTGCTCGTTAACGAAACTGTCCTTGCGTCCTTCAAAATTTTAATTCGACTCCGTGTTTATATCAGATACAATGATATGCGTTCCTAAAGTAAATATCATATTTGTAATCGAGGAGAGGTTATTGACCCATTTGTATACATCGAAATTTTCAAGAACATTCGGATATAGATCAAAGATTTAGACAAGCATCTTTATAAAGTAAACATGGATATATAACATAGTGCATATATATATATACATATATAGATAGATATATACATATATATATACAATATATACATATATAAGTCCCGTAAAGGATTCGCGTTATATTCCCGAGGTCAGCGTGTCGTCTATCTGGGCAACGATCTTGTCGTTTACTTCGTCCTCTTCCGGATACCGTCGTTGCGAAGTATCAAAGGGCGAGGCATAAGCAAGCCGCACGGCAACGTGTACTTCTTGTAACACTATCGTTATGCTTTTTTGCTCTCACGCGTATAAAGTTCCTTTCTATAGATGGTTAACATTCGAGACGATCTCGTAAATCGTACGTTTTCATTTTTTTTTCTTCTTCTTCTTCTTCGAGAGAAATCATTTTTCCCTTTCTATCTGAATATAATAAAAACGAAATATAATAAAAATTAAAATAAAAACGATCCGATTAGAGAATTTCATATAGACTTGGAAGCTTATTGAAATTTACGAAAATGGATTTGTTTAACTCACCGAATGGATATATAACGATTCAAGTACGCAACTTCGAACATTACTTTTTGCGGTTTGGTCAGCGGTTTTCTATCATTCTCGTCTCCGATAATTATCGGCGATGCTCCATGACCCGAGTTTTTCGATATATCTATCGAAAAGCACGACGACGAGAGCCATTAGTCTTCGACGGTAGCAACTCCCTCCATTCTCTTTTAGGTTCAATCGAAATCTCTCGCTAATAGTTGTCGTCCTTGTCGACAGCGAGACTGGTCGCTTCATTTTGTTCTCCTTCTTCGATCCTATCATTTACGACAAACGCTTCGTTATCGAGTGTAACCTCTTACCGCTTTTACTTTGAAGAAAATAAAAATACATATCTGTGTACGATCGGTTATCAAAATGTGAATTTCGATTTATAGTTGAAAAAAAGTATCTTTCGAAAAAAGTGAAACAATACGTTAGAGAAAAGTAGGTCATGGGAGTGTCTCATTTGTTTCTCAGGTTCGAATTTTTATTAAGCGTGATACTCTTCTATTTTTCTCTATCATCATCGTCCCCCCCCCCCCTCTTTCTCTTTCTCTTTTTCCCATCCTTTGCTCGTTTTCATCGTTTCATCCTTCGCATCTCCAAAAAGTTCTACCACCCCCGTTTCTCCCTACCTATCGAGTCTGCCAGGTAGATTGTACTTATCTGCGAGTCTTTCGTACAGCTCGATTTTTTTACTTTTCTCTTTTTTCCCCCCGTAGCTACAGCATCGTTTATCCGTACATACCTATCCCAACATACACGCGTATTCCAGTGTATGCGTTCGCATCGTTGACCGACTTTTCCTTCAATGGATGATTTAGCAGTAACCACGCGAGTCTCTTGCTCTTGTCTTTTTCTTTCTGTTTCTCTCTCTCTCTTTCTCTTTCTCTGTCGCGTTATCCCGTCTCTCCGCCCTATCCCGTACATACCGTCCTCATCAGATATTCGCTGTTCCCAACCAGTCACGACCCTTTTTTCCACGAGCAGCGTCCATTGTCAGCGACAGCTTTTGCGAAGTGGAAACCTTCTTCCTCTCTTCTCTTTTTCTTTCTTCGTCTCTTTTCCCAGAGAACTTTTTGTCTTGTCTGCCATAGCAGAAGTAGTAGTAATAGCAGCAGCAGTAGCAGTGCAGTAGCAGTAGTAGTGGTAGCAGTAGTAGCAGCAGCATCGTTCCTTGCGTCTTTTCTTCTCTTCATGGCTTTTCGCCGATATCTCTTAGAGCGAATTTTAAAGCACACCGATGACGCCGAGAGACAAAAGCATCATCGCCGGCTACAACGACGACCAAGAGACTATCGGACTGGGCTAGTAAGATTTTACATCGTAAAAAATGAAAAGGGTAGTCATGAATGAAAGGAAATCTTTTTTCTTTTTCTTTTTTTTTTCTCTTTTCTTTCTTCGGAATTCTTTTTGGAAAAGCTTATCGTTTATCTTTTTTTTTGGTATCGTGTTTCAATACTTTTCTTTATTAATACAAAAAAAGGGATGATAATGAAACAGTAAAATTGGTTTTCTTAGGTTGAAAAAGGAAAAGAGACTTCGAATTCATTTAGCTTCGATGGACCAACGCTGAGTACAACTCTTTTCGTCTGTTGAACTTTGTAGGAGGTCCGAAGAGTGAGGAGGTCCTTAAAAATCAGCCAGTCGGACCGGTTTTTATGGGCTCGTTTGTCTTGAGACGCGTGGCGATTGTTACGTGAAAGAAAACGATTTCCGTATCGAACTACGTAATTGTAAAAATTAGTTATGGATATATATATGAATATTAATTTTACCAATTCATTAACTGAAAGAACGATCGAACATTATTTCTCGTAATTAAGGAAATACGAGTTTTTAGATAAAGACAAGGCAATATATTTTGCTTTATATTTTGTTTTTGTTGGTTTTTTTATTTTTCGTTTTTGTCTTTTTCTTTCTTTCTTTCTTTTTTTTTTAACGAAATCAAGTATACAGATTTTTTTTATTTCTTTCGGAGTAGGTCGAGTTCCAGCTGACTATTCTTACGTTGGCAGCTGTTCGAGCAACCCCTCGCAGTTTTCACCCTCGTTCTTTTTTATCCTTGAGAATAACGTAAGACTCTCTCTCTCTTTCTCTCTCTCTCTCTCTCTCTTTCGTTCTCTTCCTCCTCCCTTATTCTTTCTGTCCTCTTTAAACTTCCCTTCTGTCGTTAGAGCAGAGCGAACAACTGATGGTACGATCACCTTTAAATTTTCTAGACTCTACTTTTACCTGAACACATGTAGAAATGACCGTTTCGTCTTTTCCTTCTTTCATGTCTTTCGTTGATGCATGCGCCGATTATCGTCGAGACTAGACGATCAAAAGACTCGTTGGTTTATTTTCATGGACCAAAAAGTAGAAAGAGAAAGAAAATGCACGGTTAAAAAAGAATCACAGAAAGAGAAAGAGAGAAAGAGAGAGAACTATTTTCTTTTCGAAAAAGAAAGAAAGAAAGGAAAAAAAATAATCGTAGAATTCCTTCGTGAAACGAGAGAAAATAGTCGATGGCTAGAAATAGAATCGAAGCGATGTGAGTACAAATCGATCGATTCGCAAGTTGATGAGAAAACCTTGCTTCGATAAGAAAGAAAGAGAAGATCAGCTGATCGGTAGGGAATTCTCTGTGGAGAGACGAGTAATGCTTTTCGCTTCTTACCTCATCGACTGGTTCGGGTAAAAGGATAAAGAAAAGGAAGAGTAGAGTATAATCCTTCTTCTCTCTTTCCTTCTCACTCTTACTCTTTCTTTCTCTCTCTCTCTCTCTTTCTCTCTCTTTCTCTCTTTCTCTCTCTTTCTCTCTTTCTTTCTTCCTTCGTTCCTTCTCGTCTTCTCTTCTCTTACGATATTATTTATTTTTTCTTTTTTTATTGCCGGGTTGCTGTGGTGAATCATACCTTCCCTTCTCGCAGAGATTCTCAGACAGAATCTCGCGCTTTCAAAGTCCTCTTTTTCTTCCACTGACGCAGGTGGAGTTTACGTTGCTGCTGTCGTCGTTATCATCATCGTCGTTTAAACGAGAAACCTTGCGTCATAGCTGAAGCAAATAAGAAAATTCAAGACCGTGCCGCGTGTTATAGGAACTTGCTTTTTTTTCTCTTTCACTTGTCGACTACCAATGGGTTCTCTTTCTCTTTCTATCTTTCTCTCCCTTCTTTTTACTCTCTTCAAGTCGTAAGTCCAAGACTGACTCATTGCTTTACCAAGTTGGAAGATCGGACAATGAGCTAGCCTGGTAATGCTCGAGTATTTCGAAACTGGTTAGTCGACAAATCGGCCAGGGAAGTCCTACTTTGCGTGTAATTTCTTCTCGGCAGGTTTCAATCTATAAATCGGACATAAAACGGAACGGAAGGTGATTCACGGTTTGGTATTTAATGATCGGAATTAAATTGATTATATGACTAATATGCTTGTTTTATATTCATGATCTTTCGACGTGTTTGCATTGTGATTGAAACGCACATTATGAACGTTAGAATATTATTTAGTTAACTCGAACACTATTTTCTTTTTTTCTTTTTTTGTCTTGCATAAACATCAGTTGCATTAATGTAAGATGGAAAAAGAAAAGAAAAAAAAATAAATAAACCGAGAAACTTTTGAAGAAATCGATAACTGACCGTCCTCACTGACTCCTTCTTTCTCATTCTTTCTCATACTTTTTATTTACATGCATGTTTTCTATCCACCTACCCGTTTTCCGCTTCGTTCATGACGTCACACTCGCGAATAAAACCCGTCTTTGTTCCCACGAGCGTTTTGCCAACCGGTTTGCCGATGATTCCGTATCGTCTATCAGCTGGTTAAACCGTTCGAAAGCAAGGACATTCCTATTCTGAAATGATCGGAAATACCGAAATGTCTTCCTCGAAAAGATAATTTTATCTTTACTAATAATTTAATCTTTACGTTTCCACGTGGTAGTGATTTTGTTAGTCTTTTTTCTTCTTTCCTTCTTTTTCCTTTTTTTTGTTTTATCATAACGTTCAAATTAGTCAATGTCTGTCATTGTCAATTGTATTTCCGTGAAAATTTTTAAGATAATTTTTAGTTAAAGACGCGTCATATCTTTGGAAATTCCAACAAAAATCGCTTTATCCTAACGAAAATACATTCGCTATCCCGAGGAACATCATTTGGAACAAAGAGATAACTCGAGAAGTTCGTGAGATAAAACGAAGATTTTCGCTTAAGATTTTTCCTTCAAAATCGATATATGTCTAAACGT